ATGTGACTGCCGTTGCCACATCAAGTCTCACTCAGGCAGGCAGAAACGGGCCAACTCCTGCCAGGGATTTATTCCAACATCGAAATTAGAATCATTTACACATACAAAAGAATACGTGTAGAATGCATAAGTAAGTTCTGAAGCAGATTTCCTAAATAGCCACAAACTTCACAGCAAGTGGAAAACTAGAATAGGGTCGACATTTGGACAGTTCCGATGCTCCCTGTGTGCCCTGACCAACCTGAGCCATTGCCTAACGCAGAGCTAACCACGCCATCCTGAATTCTCCCTTTCCTGTCTGTCTGTCTGCCCCTTCCTTCCTTTCTGAAAGTGTGTGCGCCTATGTGTGCTTATGCACACACAAGCTGACAAAGTAGTTGTCCTGAGGATTCCTTCCCCAGGCGGTGTAAGCAATGTCCCCTCCTCCTTGTGTCACCTCAGCTGACAAGCACAAGTGCAATCCCACCAAAATTCAACCTGAGGAGGTGATGAGTTTCTTGACTGACTCATGGAGCATGTTTAGGGGTCACTTACAGAGGCAAAGGTGACCCCAAGACCACCTTCCTAGAAACCCCTCATCCAGCATGGATGACAGTTTCCTTACACTCACAAAGAGGAGTTTCCTCCTCCAGTTATCTTTGTCTGTAACAAAATGTATCGTTGAAGTCAGAGGTGACTTTAATGTATTGTAAAGGCGATGGCGGCACACACCTTTAATTCTGGCACTCAGAAGACAGAGGCAGGTGGATCTCTGTGAGTTAGAGACTAGCCTAGTCTACAGAGAGAGTTCCAGAATAGTCTGGGCTACACAGAGAAGCCCTGTCTCAAACAAAAACAAAAAAACAAAAACAAAGAAAAAAAGTATTGTTAATTTCAAAATAAAATTTAAAATTAAATAATCTAAGAAGTGTATAGGAGACATTGTATTTCCTTGGGTCTAGACTGAAGAGGCCTCAGCTCCAGAACCTCATTATATATATATATATTATAAAAGCACATCAGAAGTTGTTCCAAGTACTTTTTATCCAGTTGCCTCTGAGTCCTGGATGTACCACATAAAACCATCTTCCTTTTACCACTCCCGCCCACACCAGAAGCCTGCACCACATCCCAATGAGCTATTCTTCATGCTGGCAGGGATCTTAAATGACGACCTGTACTTTCAAATCCAATGAATATTTATCAAGCAAGTCTTCTGTTCAAGAAACAATCTCTCTCGGAGCCCCCAAGAGACCCACTTGCAAGAGACAAACAATAGCACTACGGTAGCTGCACAGCCAGACGCTGAGTAATACTGGCTGGGGGGGACTCCAGCTCTGCTTCTGAAATCACTGCAGCCGTCCCAGCCTTCCCCACGCCTTCTAAACTTTTATAACTTGAGCTGTCACCATTGACACATCATCTAGAAACAACCTTTAAAATCAAGTTGATAAAGTCGAGGAAAACTGCGCTCATCACGACAGCCCCTACACCGAATAAGAAATGGTCACAATGCGTGAGGGCGAAGCGTGTTCTCAGAGCCACAGAGCAGAAGGTTTTGTCCTTGTCACAAACTAGGCTGTGCAGAGTTTGGTTTAGACGTGATAGATTGGTTTACAGCATTGATTTTGTGGGAATAATAAGGGGAGCGAGAGATAGAGGAGCCTAGCAATGTGCCACAGGTGCCCTCCTTAAAGAGACTTAACCCTAGCACTCGGGAGACAGAGGCAGGTGGATCTCTGTGAGTTCAAGGCCAGCTTGGTCTGCAGAGCGAGTTCCAGGATGGCCGCAGCTACACAGAGCCTTGCCTTGAACAAAACAAAACAAATCCCCAGTGGTGACAGGTTCTTGAGCTTAGATGTTCGCTCCCACCAATCAAATCTGAGTCTGTATCTGTCAAAAGTTGTCAACTTCTCATTAATACAGAGGCTAAACTGTGAAATTGATAGGGTCATGTTAGTGTTGAAAAAGAAACCCTAGGGTGGAGGAAGGAGCGTAAGGAGGATAGCTAACACCAGAGATCTTTGAAAAAGCCACATGGAAACCTACTATCGTAGAGTTTCCTAGAGTGTGTGTGTGTGAGTGTGTGTGCTATGGAGGGGTGTGTGCATGTGTGTGGTGTGTATGTATATGTTTGTGATGTGTGCGTGCACGCATGCGTGTGCGTGTATGTGTGTGGTATGGAGGGGTGTGTGCATGTGTGTGGTGTGTGTATGTGTTTGTGATGTGTACTTGGTACGTGCATGCGTGTGTATGTGGTGTCTGTGTGTGGTGTGGAGGGGTGTGTTGCATGTGTGTGTGGTGTGGAGGGGTGTGCAGTGTATATGTGTGTGTGTGATGTGCGCAAGCATGAATGTGTGGTGTCTCTGTGTGGTGTGGAGGGGTGTGTGCGCATGTATGTTTGTGATATGTTTGTGTATATGCATGCACGTGTGCATGTGTATGGTGTGTATGTAAGTGTGTGTAGTGTGTATGTGTGTGTGATATGTGCATGCATGTGTGTGTATGTGATATGTGTATATACACATATAAAGGAAGTTTGGCAGTGTTGACCTATAATGGGGAGGGTGGAATGCCTCTCTCATACACCGGGGGCTATCAGCTAAAAAGCTCAGTCCAGGTATGTGTTATCTCTTGTCCAGCTGTTGGTCAACAAGGTCCCATAGGCCCTCCCAAGCTACCATTGTTCTTGGTTACCCTCGGGAACGCATGTCATAGGACATGGAGATTTCTCTCACACATACTTGTGTATGACATGTGGACCTGTAACTGTTATATATCTTGTTATATTTTTTTAGAGTTTTAGTGCTATCCATGCTACTCCATTTTTTGTCTTTATCTTAGACAAACCAGGCATGGCAGTACAAACCTGTGAGTCCCAGATACTCAGGGGGCTAAGGAAACGAGATTTTGTGTTCAGGAGCTTGAGCTATGGCTAGGCAAAGTGAAAATCCCTTTCAAAATTACATATATATATTTGACCACAAGCAATCCCAGACGTGAATTCTCTGCTTTATTCTCCCTGTGCCTTCTGTCCTCTTCCGTCTTTCTATTGTTTGAGTCTAAATCTGTGGATGCCTAAAGGCTGTGCGGTAAATTTGTCTCTGTCTGTGTGTCACCTCTAACAAAAGGTTTCACTCTTTCTTACTGAACAGCACAGAAAGCATCACGTGGGGAAGGAAAGAGGGAAAACTTTACAGAAATCTTTAACAGCGTTTAACAAGGGATGAAGTCACTGGCTCTGACCCAGATAAGAAACCCATGCTGACAAGCAATACCCATGTGAGTTCCATGTGTAGGGCGTACACTCATTTTACAAGGTTGCTTTCAACCTATGTTTACTGTTTTCAGCAAATGACTAGCCTAATACATGTACGAACCTACATGCATTACTACATAGTAAGACCCTGTCAAAAGAAAAAAAAAATCTTAGTGCCATGGAATGCATCCCGGCAAGTCACGGACTGGGGTGGCTCCAGAGGCCCTCAAAACAACACAGGCCATTACCATTGCTCTCGGATACCTACCATAACTAGATGCCATCATGGCTCAGGGGACATTGCAGGAGAAGGGGCAGAAAGGACATAAGAGCCGAGAATGATGCTATGAAGTGTTTTCGTCTGGACATGGCACAACCATCGCACTTACTAACTCTCAGAGGCTTTGGTTCCCTGCACGAGATAAAGCCCATCCAAATTCCAGCATGCATGGGGGGTGGGGGGGGTTCATGAGACCCCACCCCTAGCTGAGCAGCTATTGGCAGTTGATTGCTGCTGGAGGAGGAGAGGTAATTTTTATTTAGGGATGTGGACCTGGTAGGGTGTAAGGTTGTTCATGCTCCCGTGGATGACTTCACACCCTTGTACCTACAGACACCACTAATTAGACTTAGGGGTTCATGGGAAAAAAGAAAAGAAGACAAGAAGTTGGGAGGGAAGAATAAACAAACATACTCTGTTTTAGCCAGGTGTTGGTGGCGCACCCCTTTAATCCCAGCACTCGGGAGGCAGAGGCTGGCGGATCTCTGAGAGTTCGAGGCCAACCTGGTCTACAGAGCTAGTTCCAGGACAGGCTCCAAAGCTACAGAGAAACCCTGTCTCAAAAAACAAACAAAAAATCAACAACAAACAAACAAAGAGGCTCAGTTAGGGACTGGAGTGATGGCTCAGTTATTAAAAGCAGTTGCTGCTCTTGCAAAGGACCCAGGTTCAGTTCCCAACACCCACACAGGGAGGCTCACAATCGCCTATTTTCTGTGTCTTGGGACACCTGCACTCCCACGCACATTCTCACACACGTGGATATATAAGTATGTAAGAAAAAGCAGGTTCAATTGTTCTTATGTGGCTATGTTGAATAGGATGAGAAAGAATGGCACACTATGGAAATATTCTCAGGAAAAACATAATTAAAGGAGCAGCAAATTGGATAACCTGCAATGTGAACATCTTGACTGAGAGTGAGGCCAGCCAAGGTTACAGAGTGAGACCCAGTATGTGTGGGGGTGGGGAGATATTGGAGGAGGAGCCACTTGTTTGTTCCCTGGCTGCCCAGACTCACGAAATAATCACACAGAAACTGTACTAGTTAAATAGCTGCTTGGCCTATTAGCTCTAGCTTCTTATTGGCTAACTCTTATTAACATATTAATTTAACCCATTTCTATTAATCTGTGTATCACAACATGGCTGTGGCTTACCGGCTAAAGTTCCAGCATCTGTCTCTGGTGGTGGCTCCATGGCTTCTCTCTGACTCCACCCTTCTTTCTCCCAGCATTCAGTTTAGTTTTCCCTGCCTACCTCTATTCTTTTGCCTATCAGGCCAAGCCAGTTTTCTTTATTAATTAACCAGTCATATTCACATCATACAAAGGGGCATCCCACATCAGGGAGGAAAGGAAAAGAATGCCAGGAAAATGATTTAGGCAAGAAAGCTTATTTGCACAGACATCTTGGGTTTGAAGTAACAACCTTGACATGGAAATAATTTCTTCGTTCCAAGAGCCACTGAACGGGAATCCTTCAGGCTGCCTGAGCTGGCTTGGGCCTAGATCTGGTCAATATGTAGTCTGCCAGTGACGTAGGCAAATAAGATAGAGGGATGAAGATAAACTGGGCATCCCAGCCAGCAGAGTATCGGGTGCGTGGATACGTAGAAGTCAGTGCATGCTCCATGCAGTCGGTGACAACGTTCAGGTTGGTGTTGCTCATCATCAAGTTTTGTTTGGTGACTCTGTAAACTAAAGAAACAGAGGAAGGAGGTCAGCAGTCTCCTCTGGATCGTTTGAGGGTTTGTTGTGCGTGTTCAATGGACGTCTTAACTCCAGTTACATTCGCAAGGACCAGGATTCCAGAGCAGAACTCTGCTTCCTGGTATGGTCATCCCTAGCCACATACATAAAGACCAACCCTTAGCTTTTATTTAATTCTAGGAAATTACATTTGGGGATTTTCTTGTTTATTTGAGTCAGGGTCTCTCTGTGTAGTCGTGGCTGTCCTGTAACTTGCTCTGTAGACCAGAGTGGCCTCAAACTCACAGAGATCTGCCGCCCAAGTTCTGGGATTCAAGGTGTGTACCAACACACCCAGCCTTAGTAAATTTTATTTTATTTATTTATTTCTGAGACAGGGTTTCTCTGTGTAGTCCTGGCTGTCCTGGAACTCCCTCTGTAGAGCATGCTGGCCTGAAACTCACAGAAATCCTCCTGTCTCTGCCTCCCAGGTGCTGGGATTAAAGCGTGCACCACCATGGCCCAGCAGTAAATTTTATTTGTAAAACTCAGCTCTATGACTGATTCAACAAATGTACGCAGATTTTCTTTTCAACTGCAAATGTGATTATTTATTTATCGTGTGTATATTTATATATGTCTGCAGACGATACATCACATGCACGGGGTCAGAGGACAGCTGTGTGGGGTTGATTCTGTCCTACGCCTTTATACGGCTCTGAGAATTGAACTCAGGTCCTCGGGATTATGTCGCAAGCACCGTCACCAACTGAGCTCTATTGCTGGCCCTCACCTGTAAATGTATGCATTTTAGTTATTTATATATCACAAAATCTAGCCAGTTAAAGTGTACAAACCATGGGTTTTTAATGTGTTTAGAGTTGTGTGACCATCACATGTGAGTTTTATAATATTTCTGCATTCTTAAACCCTGTAGGATAGGGATGTGGATCAATGGTGGAGTTCTTGCCTAGAACATGCGTGGCCCTGAGATTGGTCACCACATGACACCACACACACATATATACACCCACATACACACACACACACATAATATAGACCCAGTTCAAACACAATGTATACATACATTAATATGCATACAATCACACACACACATAAACACATAACCCTGAAGCCACTCTTCTCTCCAATCCACCCAACCCAAGACAACACCTAATCTATGGATTTGCCTGGGCATTTCATATAAATAGAACCATGCCCGATACTCCTAGGATGTGGTGCATGGCAAAGAATGCCCACAGAAGCCACCTGTCTTCCTTTCTTTTTCTTATACAACACACACATTATCTCTATAATATCTACCAAAAGAGAAACTCTGGGATTAGAGGTACTGCAGGTAACATACTTACCAGACAAAGCCCCAGAACCCACGGAAAAGCCAGGCCATGTCTGTAACTCCGGCACTGGTGGGATGGAGATAATAGATGCTGGGACTTCCTAGCCTGCCAAGCCCCAAAGTCACTCAGATACCTTGTCTCAAAAACTAAGGTGGGGGTGAGTGATGACACCCAAAGTTCTCCTCCTCTGCTCTCCACATGTGCAAACACAGGCAAACACACCCACACACATGCAGACCTACACACACACACACACACACACACACAACTTACAGTCGTCAAAAAACTGCTGTCCATAGGATTCCCTGACGTGCTCAGGGGCTGCTTCCCAGGCTTTCTTGCTTCTCTCCATGGTTAACTCTGGGTCTGTCATTCTAGTTTTGAAGCTCCCAGGTTCAATTATGCTGACCTTCACCCCAAAATCTTGAACCTCACGTCTGAAATGAGAGTACTTGGATGAAAATGAATTCATCTCCTTAGATGAAAATGAATTTTATTTCAGTTCCTCTCTGTCTGTCTCTCTCTCTCTCTCTCTCTCTCTCTCTCTCTCTCTCTGTCTCTGTCTCTCTCTCTCTCTGTGTGTTAGTTTGAATGTAACTGGACCCCATAATCTATAATCCCATAATCTCATAGAGAGTGGCACTATTAGAAAGTGTGGCCTTGTTGGAGGCAGGAGGATGAACGACACAGCCTTTAACCCCCACCTCAAGGCTGGAGGGCACACCTCTAACCTGGGCCACACCTTCTGTTGGAAGTGTGTCACTGTGGGGCAGACTTTGAGGTCTTTATCTCAGGCTTCACTCAGTGTGGTAGTCAGTCGACTTCCTGTTGCCTCTGAGTCTGTGAGAGCACAAAGTACGATGCGCGCAGCAGCCAAGTTCTGGGGACTTTTGATTTTATCATTAATAGAGTTGGTTAGCTGGTTACTTTAGTATATCTGAAAATGCTTCAACGCCATACTTGGAGCAACTGTAGAATCCTCCAAAAAAAGCGACTCTTCCCAAAACACTGGAGACATTGACAATCCTGCCCTGAGCCTTCTTCACCAGGAAAAGCATGCTCAGAGTCACCTGGGCCAAACCAACGAGGTTCACTTGAAAGACAGACATGTAGTCCTCAGGTTTCAGCCACTCAATGTAGGAAATTGGTGGGAAAACGGCTGCATTGTTAACCAAACCCCAGAGTCCTAAGAGAACAGAATGTAGATCAAGACTTTAGATTTCTGATAAAAGTAACAATGACTTACATTGGCCAATTTTCCTGCTAATAAACAACTAAAAATTCTAGAGAAAAGAAAAATAAAATTGAGATAAGATCTCCTTTCAAAACCTAGGCCAACCTGCAACTAATGATCCTTCAACCTCCCAAGCGCTGGGATTACAACTGTGAACTACCATGTCTGGAAATATATGTGTGTTTGTGTGTATATGGAAATATATATATGTGTGTGTCTGTGTGTGTGGAAATATATATACATATATATTAATTATAAAATATATTAGTAGAAAGGGGTTTGGGTTTGGGATTTTTGTACTGGCTAGTTTTATGTCAACGTGACACAAGCTACGGTTATCTGAAATAAGGAAACCCCAACTGAGAAAATGTCTCGGTAAATTCCAGCTTTAAGGCATTTTTTTAAATTAGAGATTGATGGGGCAGGGACAGCCCATTGGGGGTGGTGCCATCCCTGGGCTGATAGTACAGGTTTCTATAAGAAAGAATGCAAAGCAAGCCATGGGAAGAAGCCAGTAAGCAGCATCCCTCCATGGCCTCTGCATCAGTTACTGTCTCTAGGATCCTGCTCTGTTTGAGTCCCTGTCCTGACTTCCTTCAGTGTTAAATAGTGATATTGAAACATAAGCCAATAGCTGGACAGTGGTGACGCACGCCTTTAATCCCAGCACTCGGGAGACAGAGGCGTGTCTTTGTGAGTTCGAGGCCAGCCTGGTCTACAGAGCGAGTTCCAGGACAGGCTCCAAAGCCACAGAGAAACCCTGTCTTAAAAAGCAAAAAACAAAAACAAACAAACAAACACATAAGCCAAATAATACCTTTTCTCCCCAAAGCTCATGGTATTTCACAGCAATAGTAACCCTAAGACAGATTATTTTTATTGTTGTTTTGTTTTGTTTGGAGGGGTTGGATTTTTTGGGTTTTTCTTTTTTGTTTTTGTTGCTGCTTGTTTTTGTTTCTGGTGTATGCATGTGTGCATGTATGCGTGTGTATGTGCATGCATGTGTGTGTGCATGCATGTGTGTGTATTTGTGTGTGTGTATTTGTGTGTGTGTATTTGTGTGTGTGTATTTGTGTGTGTGCATGCATGTGTGTGCATGCATGTGTGTGTGCATGCATGTGTGTGCATGCATGTGTGTGCATGCATATGTGCGTGTGTATGTGCATGCATGTGTGTGCATTTGTGTGTGTATTTGTGTGTGTGTATTTGTGTGTGTGCATGCATGTGTGTGTACATGCATGTGTGTGCATGCATGTGTGTGTGCATGTGTGCGTGTGTATGTGCATGCATGTGTGTGCATTTGTGTGTGTATTTGTGTGTGTGCATGCGTGTGCATGCATGTGTGTGTGTGTGTGTGTGCGTGTGTGTGGTGTTTGAGACAGGTTCTCTTTATATGGCCCTGACTACCCTGAGACTCTCTGTGCAGACTTACTTGTCCACCTGCCTCTGCCCAGCGTTTAATCCCAAACGCTGTGATTAAAGCCCATACCACCACTTGGTCCCTGTCAATGGGAAGTTTTTAAAAGTCAGACCAAACCTAAGGAATGCAATATTCCAGAGAAAACAAATAGAACCAGGATTGCTGGTTTGAGTTCTTACGGCAGTTTTCAACCACTGTGAACTTTAGTATTTCTGGGGGGCAGGGGGACAATATGTCTGGGTTTTAGATTCTAAGAAATGTATTCAGTCAGGAAGAAAGTCATTTTAGATGGAAGAGTCTCAAGAAGGAATGACGAAACTCACTCAGGAGGCAGAGGCAGGAGAAATGCTGTTAGTTCAAGGCTAGCCTGGTCTACGTAGGACTTCCAGGCTAGTCAAGGCTATACCATGAGACTGTCTCAAAAATAAATAAGATAATAATAATAGCAACACAAGAAAAATCTTGGACTGACGACTCAGCAGGTGAAGAGTTTGCCAAGCAAACCTCGATGACCTGAGTTTGATCCCTGGAGCCCATGTAAAGATGGAAGGAGACAATAACCCCCACATGCACACCATGGCACATGCGTGCCCCACACAATAATAACAAATAATATATTTTAAAGGAAAAATTGAACTTGGTAAGCTAGATAATCAGTCAAACTTTCTGGAAGAACAGCTAAAGAAATGAAAATCAGCCAAGTGGTGGTGGCGCACACCTTTAATCCCAGCACCCGGGAGGCAGAGGCAGGCGGATCTCTGTGAGTTCGAGACCAGCCTGGTCTACAAAAAGCTAGTTCCAGGACAGGCTCCAAAACCACAGAGAAACCCTGTCTCGAAAAAAAAAAAAACAAAAAAAAAAAGAAAGAAATGAAAACCATGTGTATTATTTGACGTTTAGTAGTGGAGAATGTGGAACTAAAACTTTGGTCGGGAAATCAAGCATGGTTGTACAAGCTTATAGTCCCCGCCTGGGTTTCACCAGGCACTGTTTCAAAGGAGAAAAGAAATCTAAAAATCTCCTGAACATAAAGAATTGTTTAATGGAGCTGGAGAGGCGACTCTTCCAGAGGACCTGGGCTCAATCACCAGCATCCGCATGGATCTTCACAACTCTGTTATTCTAGCCCCAGGGTATCCAATGCCTTCTTCTAGCCTTCATGGGACATAAGTGGTACACAGACATTCACAAAGGCAAAATACCCATAACACATAAAATAATTAATTTTTTTTATTTATTATGTGTACAGCATTCCTTCTATGTGTGCCCGCATGCCAGAAAGGGGCGCCAGGTCTCATTACAGATGGCTGGGAATTGAACTCAGGACCTCTTGGAAGAGCAGTCAGTGCTCTAAACCTCTGAGCCATCTCTCCAGCCCCAGTAATTAAATTTTTAGAAAATTTAATAAGTTTGTCTATAAATGTATGGAGTTCGTTTTTCCATGTAACATTTCTGTATAACATGCAAACATTCTCAAGGAAATGAGACACTACAAAAGGTCACGACACCTTGACTTAGGGTCAGTAGGCCATATGTATCTGGAAATTCTAACTTGGCAGTAAGTCTCTGTTGCTGAAAACACACTCTTGAGTCATAGAACACGGAAAGATCGAGCTGGTGCTGATCTAGAAACTGCACCCCTACTGGCCCTTCTTCTCAGTCATCAAGGCTGTCTTATCTGAGAAATAACCTAACCACCAATCTTCCCTAGTCACAAGCCCTGCGAACCATGCTGGTGACTGGCCTGGCAAGACCAGCCCATGGAGCAACACTGGCACAAACGTCAAGGGATAACTCCTATCTTCCGCTTGGATTAAAACCCTTACCTGGCACCGCTATCAGGCCACGGGTCACAGGTCCTAGGGGAGACCCTACCACTATGCTGATAAACAGACTTAGTGTTAAAATGGCCCCTCGTGAGCCATCAATTCACCCACAGATTAGTGCGTCTCTCAGCCCTCATCAGAAGAGCTTCCATTTTTCATAGACAGTGATAAATACAGAGACCCAATAACTAATCAAAGTACAGAAAATGAGACTTCAAAATGCCCAGACTTAAATGAGACATCTGTATCTTACTCCTGCCCGCAAGGTTCAGGAATCTTACAGAGGAAGGGGGAAAGGGATGTAAGAACCAGAGGCAATGATCACGAGAAAACCGCATATTCAGGACACTCAAGGAGAGCTGCACGCATGGACTCACAGTGGTTGTGACGACATGCACACAAGGAGAGCTACATGCACAAACTCACAGCTGTTGTGACGACACACACAAGGAGAGCTGCACGTACGAACTCACAGCAGTTGTGACGACACGCACAAGATCTGTGCAAATTCAACCAGACATAAATCCTACATGGTGAGAAGAGGTGGGCACAAAGTCATACCCCTAGCAGAGGACCCCTCGGCAATTGGTAGCTGCTGGGAATGTAGCCCCTGGTAAATTGACCATACTCTGCTGCACATGCAAAAATATACAAAGAGTACAAGTTGGATTTGATGGGTGGAAGAAGACGAAGAAGAAAGAAAAGACACAAAATTGGGTAGGAAAGGAAAGATGGATCTGAGAGGGATTAGGAGAGGCATGGATATGATCAAAACATACTATGAAATTCTAAAAAAAAAAACAATAACTTTCTAATAAATAGCATTTTTTATTTTTTATTTTATTTTATTTTTGGTTTTTCGAGACAGGGTTTCTCTGTAACAATGGAGCCTGTCCTAAGACTAGCTCTTGTAGACCAGGCTGGCCTCGAACTCACAGAGATCTGCCTGTCTCTGCCTCCTGAGTGCTGGGATTAAAGGCGTGTGCCACCACCGCCCAGCTTTTTAATTTTTTTTATAAATAGCTTTTTTAAGGCAGAGATTATGGAAGCATGTTCAAGACCTTCACAAGCTCAAGCTGGACAAAATCCCTGCACAACGAAGGGGAAGTGGGCACAAATCCTACTGCTAACCAAGATGCTATCAACATGGGTTGCGGTTGCAAGACAGAAGTCAGCTTTCTTCAGTGCTGACACCAATGACACGGTCTCGGCAGGCTCCTGCTCAGGAGCAGTCAGGACCACACACCAGGCTCCGTGCTTTTCAGCGCCTTTTTCCTTTGGCTTTTATTTTTAGGAGACAGAAAGAGTATGAAGTTGGCTTAGGGGAGAGGGCTGGAAGGAGTTGGGGGACAAAAAAAAAATGAAAAAAAATATACTGCATGGAATTATCAAAGAATGAATTTTAGGAACTGGAGAGATGGCTCAGAGGTTAAGAGCACTGACTGCTCTTCCAGAGGTCCTGAGTTCATTTCCTAGCATCTACATGGTGACTCACAACTGTCTACAATGAGATCTGGTGCCCTCTTCTGGTGTGCAGGCATACATGCAGACAGAACACTGTATACATAATAAATATTTTTTTAAAAAATGAATTTTAAAATGAAAATAGATAATTACCACTATATTGACTATTTTAGAAGGAAAAAAATTACAGTCCTTCAAGTGACAAAGTGTTTTAAAACATGTTTTTGGAATGTATACACTATAAAACTTGGAATATTCCTGCCTAAACAAATTAAAAGCGAAAATATTTCTTTGTACCTCTGTTCCCAACACGCTCCTTCACCCACTGAGTGGCTGCCACAATACTCTCTGTCTTGGCGACATCAAGGATCACTGTATCCAGCCTGTCTGATGTCTTGTTCCTCAGCTCCTCAGCTCCCTTCTCCGTCAGACACGCAGCCAGCACCCTCATGCCTCTCCTGTCCAGCTGTCTGGCCAGCAGGTTCCCAAAGCCCGAGTCACAGCCCGTGATGAAGACATGCTTGTCTTGGAGATGGCTCACCACCTGCCTCTCACGGTACCAACGCAGAAGGTAGTAAAGGCCCACAAGGGTCACCAGGTAGAGCCACATTTTGAGGGAATATCCTTGAACGAAAAGAGAATAGATGTTGTCAGGCAAATGGCTTTGGATATAGTTTAGTGGAAGAGAACTTGCACCAGCCCTGGACTTGATTGCCAGTAAGAAAACCAGAGAGAGGGCAGTGCAGCGTGTCAGATACCTTAACAGAAGGTATATACCCAGCGCCAGGTGCCGTGGCACATGACCATGATTCCGGTATCAGAAAGGTGGAGGCCAGAGCATTAGCCATATGTCAAGTTTTAGGCCATCCTAGGCTATGCGAGAGGCTGCAGAGACAGAAGAAGAAAAGTTATATGTGCTACAAAGAAAGAAAAAAGGTGTGGAGGGGAGGCTGGAGAAGCAGCTCCGCAGTTAAGAGTCTTCCAGCAGATCCAGTTTCCAGCACCCACGTCAGCTAGCAACCGTTTGTAACCCAGTCCCAGGGTTCTGATTCAATGCCCGCTTCTGGTTTCTGAGGGCACCGGATCACATGATGCCGGCAGGTGAAACATCTACACACATAAAATAAAGGTTAAAGGGCTGGAGAGATGGCTCAGAGGTTAAGAGCATTGCCTTCTCTTCCAAAGGTCCTGAGTTTGATTCCCAACAACCACACGGTGGCTCACAACCATCTGTAATGAGGTCTGGTGCCCTCTTCTGGCCTTCAGGCATACACACAGACAGAATATTGTATACATAATAAATAAATAAATATCTTTTAAAAATAAATAAAGGTTAAAAAATTAAAGCTATTCCAGTGGCCGTTGAGGGGAAATTAAACAGGGATTTGTTTGTGGGAAAATCAGAAGACCCAATAGCTTGTGTGAGATACGACGTATATTTGTAAATACAGACCAGTCTGCTTCGCTGCTGAAATCGCTTTCATTGGCTGGGATGTATCTCCATTGGTATTGGGCCTTGAGTTAGAGGCTCAACACCTTATAAGCCAAGTGTGGTGGCACAAGATGTAACCCCAGCTCCCTGAGGTAGAGGCAGGAGGATCAGACATTTGACGTCACCCTCAATTACTACCTAGAAAGTTTGAGGTTACATGAGACCCTGTGTCAAAGAAGATAATGAAATGCATGAGACATGAAAGCAAAAACTGTTCAGGGAGAAAGAGGACCAACAAAGGTGGTAAGAAGAGGGGGACAAATAACAAAGTATAATGATGTGTGATGTCAGAATGAAAAGGCCATGCAGGACCGGGCGATGGTGGCGCACGCCTTTCATCCCAGCACTTGGGGGAGAGGGGGGCAGGGGCAGGCGGATCTCGGTGAGTTTGAGGCCAGCCTGGTCTACAAGAGCTAGTTCCAGGAGGCCATGCATTAGCCCGTTGCTTTTCAGGCTAGCTACAGAAACAGTTTTAGGCCTGGAGAGATGGCACAGAGGTTAAGAACATTGGCTGCTCTTCCAGAGGTCCTGAGTAATTCCCAGCATCTATACGGTGGCTCACATTATCTATAATGAGATCTGGCGCCCTCTTCTGGCCTGAAAATTTACATGCAGGCAGAACACTGTGCATTAGTAAATAAATCTTAAAAGGGGGAGATTAGTTTGCCTGTTTCTGTGTGGAGTCCTGAAGAACTACCCACCGTTACTGTCAGTCTCTAAGTGTTGGCTAAAGAATCTAATCACCATGAATAGAGGTCAAAGGTAAGTGTGGAGGTGCAAAGACATGATGAAGCCGCCCCACAATGCCTGCAAGAAAAGACTCAACACAATTCGGATTCCTTAGTTCATCATAAAATCTCCCCCGTTACTGGATCCAACATCCTCTCTCTTAGTTCATTCCCTCTAGCCCTTTCTTTAATTTTTTTTTTTTTGAGACAAGATCTCATTATATATCCCTGGCTGTCCTGGAACTCACTGCAGATTGGGATAGCTTTGAACTCACAGAGATCTGCCAGCCTCCGCCTGCTGAGTGCTAGTATTAAAGGTGTCCAACAACAACCTGGCTTTGCCATATTCATTCTTATAGCTTACTCTTTAATCTTAGCAAGCAGTTTCCAGTATGCCACAGAAGACAGGTTTTACTGGTTTTTTAATGACTTTACTACGTTGCCCAGGCTGGCCTTGAACACCTGGGTTCAGATAATTCTCAGTCTCCCACGTAGCTGGAACAAAAGACTGGCTACCACATCCTACCACATCCAGAAGTACAGGTTTTGCATTACCTCTGTATATGTTTCCCTCTGTACTTCTTTCTTTTTTTTTCCCCCCAACCCTTATCCACTTAGAAAATAAACTTATAACTGGGTGGTAGTGGCACGCACCTTTAATCCCAGCAGTCAGGAGGCAAAGGCAGACAGATCTCTGTGTTAGAGGCCAATCTGGTTTACAGAATGAGGTCCAGGACAGTCAGAAACCCTATCTTGAAACACACACACACACACACACACACACACACACACACACACACACAGAGAGAGAGAGAGAGAGAGAGAGAGAGAGAGAGAGAGGAATAATACATATTATTAAGTAAGATCAAACATCATTTTCATTCAACAAACATTAATTCAACATTTACTACGAATCAGACAGTCAGAAACTGTGAGGCACTGATGCACAACCATCAACAAAACAGTTTGTTTGAACCAGGTGTGGCAGCAGATTGCCTATAATCCCTGTACTAGTCAGGCTAAGGCAGGGGGATTACATCAAGTTGGAAGACAACCAGGGCTACAAATCCAGACCCTACCCCAAACAACCAAAAATGAACGAATAAACCTCAATCCAAGACCTGGATGGAGGGGGGGAGGACCTTGGACCTCCCACAGGACAGGGAACCCTGACTGCTCTTTGGACTGGAGAGGGAGGGGGGAGGGAAACGGGAGGAGGGAAGGAGGTAGAAATTTTTAGTAAAAAAAAAATGAGAAGGAAAATATATTAAAAAACACAAAAAACCTCAGTCCATTCTCTGTTGACTCTTCAGCCTCTGTGAAAACAGAGCAGAAAATGCAGGATCTGATGTGGCCACTGAATCAGGTGTCCATGGTGCAGTCAGTAACCCACCCATGCTCAAGCAAGGAACCCTAATTAAACTCAGAGGGTCTCTTGCCCAAAAAGACTTCACAGTAGGAGCTTGTTAGGGAAAGGGGGATCCATAGAGTGTGAGAGGAATAAGAGATGTGAACGGAGGAGAACAAGATCAAATTACATTACACACACACACGGACTCTCGAGGAGAAGAATCGGTAGAGTAAAAATGTATGTTACAAAGGGAATGTTCAGATTGGCTTACACAACGCGTGCTGACCTTCTGTGGTGACTCTCTGAACGTTAGGCAGGCTGAGAACCCAGCAGCTCAGTGGTCCCCGTCTGTCCCAGAAGGCCTCGGGGATTCCTGGAGAGCCTCTGGTCTTTAGTCTACGGTCTTTAGCCAAGAAAGCAGAGTTCCAGTGTTAATGAAGGATGGCATCTCTCGCTGGTACAGGGGTAAGGCAGGCTGGCAAAAAAAAAAAAAATCAACTGCTTCTCCCTCAGACTTTGTGTCTAGGCCTCCACCAGAAGGTGCCACCCACTCTGGGGAGGGCCGGCCTCTTTGAACTAATCCTTCCAGAAAATACTCTTACAAAAATGCCCAGAAGCATTTTTTTTTCATTGATTCCAGATCTGATCAAGTTGACAGCCTGAAAGATTAACTATCAAAATTTTACCCTTTGTCACCTTGACACCAGTCAACCCTTGCTTCATAGATATGAAAATAACAACGTCATAATTCCACGTAGCTATCCTGTACACAACTAAAAACACACTTTCTTTTTTTGTAGTTTTTTGAAACAGGGTCTCACTGTGTAGCTCTGGCTGTCCTAGAACTCATTATGTAGACCAGGTTTGTTTTGAATTCACAGAATTCAAAAGCCTGCTTCTGTGCCTCCGAAATGCTGAGATTAAATGTGAACACCACCACATCTAGCTACTGTCTTTTTTTTAAATATTTATTTATTATGTATACAATATTCTGTCTGTGTGCATGTCTGCAGGCCAGAAGAGGGCACCAGACCTCTTTACAGATGGTTGTGAGCCACCATGTGGTTGCCGGGAATTGAACTCAGGACCTTTGGAAGAGCAGGCAATGCTCTTAACCACTGAGCCCCAGCTCAGTGTCTTTTTTGTCTCCAGCCACAGCTACTGTCTTTTTGAGTGGTATTTTTTATCAGTTCTTTGAGTGAAGGCGTAAGTCACAAACAATGCCACACCAGTTTGGAATTATGATTAATAGGGTGGTATTTATTTAAAGGGGAAAAAACTTACAGATCACCGTCCCAGACAACAGCCCTCTGCGCAACCAGGGAGTCTAGTCGCCGGGGGAGCAGGAAATGAAGAGAGAGAGGAGAGGGAAGTGGCCGCTTTTTTAAAGGGAGAGAGACCACGTCCCAATGGGCTGGTATCTCAGTGGCTATAGGCTGGAGGAGCAGAAGGACCTCCCGCAACACCTCCCCCTTTTGTTTAAGTAAGAGAGTTCTAAACCTACTGTGAAATTATATACAATAAGTACAAATATCCTATTCTAACTAGCTTAGGTCTTGTATAATAAATAACTTGGCCAAGTCATGAGAGAAAAGTAACTACATTTATATAGTCTTCAACCCCATCGAAGATCTGAGAAGGGAAAAAATGTTACCTGGGTAATTAGAAAGTTCAGTAAAACAACTTCCAAAACATGCAACAAATCACAGAGACAACTAGCTACCTGGGCAATCACCCAAAGTCACATTAGCAGCGTTGAAGCAACCAACTTTGGCTAAGGCCTAACATAACTGACATACCATTTTCAAAGACAGGCAACTTTTCAAAACTATCTTACCCTGTCTTGGCAGGATATGACAGTCCTGTTTTATCCATTGATGCACGCTCTGTATCTCTGTCAGTGGTTGAGGTATGGGCATTTCTTTGCCCCAAGGCCAATTCTGCCAAAAAGAAAGGCTCCAGGTGGAGTGTCTTTTTTTTTAAATATTTATTTATTTATTATGTATACAATATTCTGTCTGTGTGCATGTCTGCAGGCCAGAAGAGGG